CAACAATTACCCCCCAATATGGCAGAATTAATAATAATTATTGAATTTTGCCATATTCACTTTGTGTTTCCAGCAACATTCGAAATTCCCAAGAATTTCAATCATTGTTTCCTTCTATAACTTGAAAAAGTGCGTCGTTTTGCAAACCCTTATAAACCCCAAACACGCCATTTCACTGCTACCAAACCACGCCTCATATTTTCTGCATCTCTTTCACGATTCACTGTTCATCTTTTGCTTCCTTGTTACGTAACCCCGAAAAGCTTCGTTCATCCTCCAATGGCTGCTTCACAATCTCAAGCTAGTGATTCCTTTAGTTTTGATGATTTTCAGAAACTTCTGAGTCGCCCATACATAACCCCAAGTTTTCTCGCGCCCGCCGACGTTGGACGTAATGAGTTTTACTTGGGTCCTTTCTTCAACAATGCGGAGGCAGTTGAACAGGCGGCGGTGGGTCAGCTGTTTCCTTGCACTCATGGCCCTCCTTTTCTAAACTCTCTACCGCTGGGGCCACTTTGCGAAAGAGGTATTCGCACTTGGCCTAAATCTGATGTAGCTTTTCGTAGGTGGCATGCTCGCCTTGTGGGTCATGGCCCTACTAAAGCACTTTTTGACATCGCTAGGATTTCTGACTTATTAGAAGTCTCTATTCGCCCCCCTACTTTTGATTCAGCGCTCTTTCTGATTGCCTTGAGTTTTTGGTCCTCTGAGTACAACACCTTTATTTTTCCTCTGGGCCCCCTCTTTTAAAGGTATCGCTTCTACCCATTTAGTGAAATAGTCGATTGCAACTATAACAAAAGTATGTTGCTTGGATGATGGAGGGTAGATCTTCCATATTAGATCTATCGCCTAATCTTTGAACGGTCAAGGTTTAATAATAGGTGCCATCTCTCGCGCTGGCGTCCTTTGTATTGGACCATGCTTTTGGCATGCTAAACAACTTTTTGCGTATTGAATGCATAGTCCTCCCATCTTTGGCAAAAAATATCCACTCCTAATAATTAACCATCTCATCCTTTGGCCAGCTTGATGAGCTCCACATATCCCTTCGTGCACTTCAGCCATGATCGTCTTGGCTTCTTGCAAACTTACACACTTTAGTAATACACCATCAGGGTGTTTCTTAAATAACTCTTCGTCTATTAGTGTGTAATTCAGTGAACATAACTTTGTTTTCCTACTAATCCTTCCATTAGGTTCTTGAAGGAACCCTTTAATCTCTGTTCGCCAATCCACTGCATCTCCATCTTGTATACAGTGAAGTTCAATTTTTCTCGCCCTTCTTTGAGTTACGGGCAATATGATTCCGTATTCACAAGTAGACTTCCAATCCAAGATTTTAGAGTACCCTGAAGCCATTTGGGCCAACTCATTCGCCACGTCGTTATATATCCTATTAACGCATTGAAGTTCTACTTGATCGAATTCCTCTAATAATTCTTGGGCGATCCCATATTGACTTATAATGGAATCACTTTGGCATTTAAAATCACCAATCAATTGATGTATCACCAATTGAGAATCGCCCTTAACGATCACGTTCCTTACTCCCATATCTATCATCAGTTCTAGTCCTACAATTAAGGCCTCGTATTCGGCTTGATTGTTGGTGCACAT